ATGTGATGGGTTTAGAAGACTCTGGAATCCTGGATCCTTCCTACCCGAGTATGGTCTGAGAACCAGCAGTGTCGGCATCACTACTGACATTTCTACTGCTTGTTAGAAATGCAGGTTCCCAGGCCCCAGTACAGCCCTGCCAAATCAGAATCTGCATTCTAACAAGAGCACCAGGTGACAATATGGAAGTGATAACTACTATACATGGTATCTTGAAAGCTGGTCTATCCTTATGATTGGATAGCCTGAACTGTGTATGTCAGAAGTGATAGAAATGAGAAAAATAACAATAAAGCCTAAAGATGCTCCAGCTCCAAGCCTCAATTAATGCCTGCATACCAAATTTTAAAATGACAAATCTTGATATCAAGTCAGAACTGTATACTGTTCATACGATTTTAAAAATAAGAAGTCAATACAAACTACAATGGGGGCAAACCCTCCCTAGAAGAGAAAAACCGGCGAAGTTTCCTGAGCAATGAAGGAAAGACTATCTGCTCTCTATCCCTTACAGGGTTAAATCTGATAGTGTATGGGAAAGAAAGCCCCTTAAAGTGAAAAAAACTCTATACATGGTAGGATTATTCTCCTTGAATCAAGTCACTTTAAGAACATATTACTGGCATCACAGAATTGAAGGGGGCAGAGCAATTTCCCATGAGAAGTATAAATAACAGGGTGTGTGTGTGTGAGAGAGAGTGAGAGAGAAATTAGCCTGTTAGCCTCATTGGAGTTAAGAGCCCCAACAGTTGGCCCACAACTCATAAGTATATGCAAAAGAAAATAACCTAGTAAGGGGAAACCCACAATGAGTTTTGTGCTAAGAAAATAGCAAACACACCTCTCACTGAGTTCTGCTCACTAAGGAGTGAGTCAATGCATGACACTCACCCAGCAGGGCAGCCACTATGCCCACCAGCCCCGTGCCAGCACCCAGCTCCACGGCAGAGCGGCCCCTGAGCTCCACAGCTCCCATCTCCAGATATGTGGAAAGAACGATGGCCTGAGTGAAAACACAGTGTGATGATGATTAAGGTCAACATGCGCTTTAGGAGCTGCAGGGTTTCAGGTCAGCTACACACAACCCTCTCCCACCTCAAGGTTCAATTCCCTGCTTAACAACACACATAGGAATTTAGCTGGTACAAAAAGATAACCTCCCCCTTAGAGCAAGCACAGGGCTCCACAGCAGTGCCCAGAGACACTGCCCATACAAAATGGGGTCCTGCTGGGTCTGGAAAGCTTAATTTTTTTTTTCTGAGATGGAGTCTCAGTCCATCTGTCACCCAGGCTGGAGTGCAGTGGTACAATCTCGGCTTACTGCAACCAACTTCCACCTCCCAAGCTCAAGCGATTCTCCCACCTCAGCCCCCATAGTAGCTGGGACCACAGGTGTGCACCACCACACCCAGCTAATTTTTGTATTTTTTTTTTTCCTGTGGTAGAAGAGGGGTTTCGCCATGTTGGCCAGACTGGTCTTGAACTCCTCAGCTCAGCTGATCTGCCTGCCTTGGCCTCCCAAAGCGCTAGGATTATAGACGTGAGTTACTGCAACCAGCCTGGAAAGCTTAATTTTTTACTGTGTCACGGCACTTTTACATTTGAAGTTTACACAACTATTCTGCAAGAACTGACATGAATAATTTCTATGATTTTGTTTAAGTTCCTAAACCAAACTCAGGTCAGCAAAGCCACAACTTCACCCATAGGGAAAAAGCAACACATTGCCCAGGGCTCTCTAAGCTGCGTCACTGACGGTCATCGCCCCACAGGGGCCCTCGTCGTACATTCTGGGCATCAGAAGGTAAGTTTTGGCCAAAGTTTTAGATACCTGATGTGTGGTTTTGCATTTGCTTATGATCCTACAGAAAGAAGTATATCATGTTAACATAACTTCTACTGTATTTCTCACAGCCATATACTTTGAGTATAACTGGCAATTCCTCTTCTTGGTGACCATTTAGGAGGCTTCCCATTCCTCATTATATCTTTTTTTTTTTTTGCATTGGAGTCTCATTCTGTTACCCAGGATGGAGTGCACTGACACAATCCCAGCTCCCTGTAACCTCTGTTTCCCAGTTCAAATGATTCTCCTGCCTCAGCTTCCCCAGTAGCAAGGACTACAGGTGTTCACCAACTCACTCAACTAATTTTTGTATTTTTAGTAGCAATAGGGTTTCACCACGTTGGCTAGGCTGGTTTCGAACTCCTGACCTCAGATCATCCGCCCACCTCAGCCTCCCAAAGTGCTAGGATTACAGGTGTGAGCCACTTCACCGGGCCTATAGCTTTATTATTACTAGAGTAATTTTCATGAGGTTACCTAGACTGGGTTCCTAGAAGTGGTATTACTAGGTTAGAATATATTGAGATTTTTATTTCCACATGTTTAACATCCCTAACAATGTTAAAACTGTCAAACTGTATTTATGCCAAGTATGCATTCAACATTAATTGAGTTCCCACTGAGTCCTAGGTGTGGTGCTAGATGCTGGCGGTACAAGTCAGACAGAACAGTGCTGGGAGAGGAAGAAATGAAAAAGCAGTTGCAATTTTTTAAATGATTACAACTATGGAAAACTTATAGAAAGCACATAATCTTCATTTTGGGCTCTGCCACTTTACAATTCTCTATGCAATAAAGAGACTAACTCAGTGGGACACGGTGGCTCACGCCTATAATCCCAGCACTTTGGGAGACTGAGTTGGGCAGATCACTTGAGGTCAGGAGTTCCAGACTAGCCTGGCCAACATCATGAAACCCCATCTCTACCAAAAAATACAAAATTAGTTGGGTGTGGTGGTGCACACCTGTAGTCCCAGCTACTCCAGAGGCTGAGGTGAGAGAATCACTTGAACCCCAAAAGCGGAGGTTGCAGTGAGCCAGGATCACATCACTGTACTCCAGCCTGGGCAACAGAAGGAGACTACCTCTCAAAAAAAAAAAAAAACAAAAAGTTACACCTATAATCCCAGTACTTTGGGAGGCCAAGGTGGGTGGATCACTTGAGGTCAGGAGTTTAAGACTAGCCTGGCCAAAATGGTGAAACCCGTCTCTACTAAAAAAAAAAAAAAAATTAGCCAGGCCTGATGGTGTGAACCTGTAGTCCCAGCTACCTGGGAGGCTAAGGCAAGAGAATCACTTGAACCTGGCCTGCAGAGGTTGCAGTAAGCTGAGATCCTGCCACTGCACTGGTGCGACAGAGTGAGACTCCTTCTCAAATTTAAAAAAAAAAAAAAAAAAAAGAGTGAGAGAGAGAGAGAGAAACTAACTCATGTCCAAAGCAGTTGGTGGCTTTCCTTCGGGTCCTCTCTTACCCAGTGTGTCATTACTGGCAAGTCATTAACTTTCCTCAGCCTTCATTTATTCACCTTTAAAATGTAATCTATGTGGAGAGAGTAGAGAAATGACGTAAGGGATACGGGTTGGGTGTGGCAGTAACAGCAAAAATGTTGGTTAGGTGGAGAAAGGAAAAAAAAGAAAAAAAATTGAAGTGGTGATAGTTGAACTACTCTGTGAATATACTGTATGTTTAAAGCCGCACTGAATTGTGCACTTTAAATAGGTGAAGTGTATGGTATGTGAATTATATCTCAATAAATCTGTTTAAAAAATAAAAATAAAAAATAAAAGCCAGTCTTACAAGCAAGTGTGGCCATTTTCAGAGGTCCCCCAGAGCTTACTTACCGCATCCCAAACCACCGCTGCGACTCCCAGGTGTCTCCAGTCCTGCTGGATCTGGATCGTGTGGTTTGCAAAGGAAAAGGTTGCAAAAGGCTTGTGGAATTTCTGCAACCCCAATTCCGTGGTCTCCTCATAGGGCACCAGGGCCATTCCGCCTGCACCCCGCCCTCTGCTCACACCTGTCGTGCAAAAGAACCCTGGGTGACGCTCTGGCTGGAAGGTACATTATCTTTTTTTTTTTTTGGGGGGGGGGGGTGTGCGTCTTGCATTGGAAGATACATTTCTTAAGTAACTCCAAATGCTTTTTTACGGTTTTACAAGTTCAAAAGAAAAAACGAAACAGGTGGAAGAAGACTTTGTCCAATTTCTTTTGCATAGCTCTTCTAAATCTGAGTAAGATTTCGCTCGGAATTTGTGTCAACGGATGTCTTTGGGAGAAAAAAAAAAAAAAAGCCCAGAACATTCCAACTTCTGCAGAAGGCCTTATACACTGCACTGCTGTCACTCCGTGAATTCAGGGCTGCACGGGCGGTGACCGCCCAGGGACCCAGGACAGCCGGGAAGCAGCGCTTCCTACCCAGCCCGGGCGCCTGGAATGCAGCTGCAGCCCGCCGGGCAACCCGGGTCTTCTGTTGCGGTTTCGCCACCCACCTCCCCTCCTCCATCGGCTGCTTCAATGGTGACAACAATGGGACCGAACCTGCCCTTAGACTGGGTGTTAGCGATTTGATAAGCCAGAAATACACGGTCGCCGCAGCTCCGTCTCCCCCGGGACTGGAAGCGAACGGCATTGGGGGCCTCCGAGTCGCTCGCGGGGACAGCAGGGGTTCGGAGGCCTCCCCGAAGTCCCCCTAGAGCTGCCCCCCACCCACCCCTCTCCGGGGCCGACCGGCGCGCCCTTCCTGCCCCCGGGCCCGGGAGCTGAGGCGACCCTCCAGGGGCGAGATGGAGACCGAGCAACACAGGGCCTCTCACGACCCCTAGGCCATGCTGGGCGCCGCGAGCTGCCCGGCGGAGCACCCAGGCCTCGCCCAGCCCGGGCCCAGGCGCCGCCACACCGGTACTTACGGCTCCGGAGGCTGCCCCGCGTGGGGCGCGCGCTCCGCTTTCCCCGCCCCAGGCTGGCTGCGGAAACCGCCAGCCTTAAAGAGCCCGCGAGGCGCAGGCGGGCGGCCCCGGCCACGCGTTTCCGGTCTCCCGGCACCCCACCCCCTGCAGGTGCCCGCGGAGCCCGCTGCGGGGCTGGGCCGTGAAGGGGGGGAGGGACGTTGCGGGGAGCCGGGACAGGGGCTTTCCTGCGTGCGTCCCCAAGGCACAGGGACTACCAAATCCGTTTCTCCGCCCGCCGAGGGAAGTGCTGTGGGGCGGGAGCGAGAGCCAGACCCGGATGCCAAGCAGCCGCGGGTGCGCAGGGAGGGTATGGGGTGCCCGGCTCTCCGGGCGGAAAGGAAAAGCCACGCACCTGGCGCTGAATGTGCTCCTGTGCCGGCTCCACTTTTCTATCCTGTGCTTGGCCGTTCTCAGCCTCGGACTTTCTCACTTGCGCGTTGTGCCTGTTTCTTAGTTTTAAAGGTGGCGGGCTAGCGAGTGATGGAGACAGCTCGCTCCGAAGAATGCGTGGTCACTCTTCTCCAGCGTCTCCACGGTGGGGTCCGAAGCGGCGTAATAGCCCGCTTGGCGGCAATCGAGTGGAAAAGTCAGAAAGCCCTAATCAACTAAGGCGCGGTGGGGAAGTGAGCACGTGGCGCCCGGACCTAAGTTTTTCAAATGGGGTCGGGGACGCAGCGGGCTCGGCTGCAGTCGGGAGCGCGGAGCTCCGGGCGCGCGCTTGGTCCCAGCCCCGGCCCTGGGCGGCGCTGCAGACCCCAGTGCCCCAGTTTCCTTCCTCTGGATGCCGAGGCGCACCTGCCCGTGGGGACCCACGCAGGACGTGGAAGGTGCTGAGGGCGTGTCACCCTGGCCGCAGGCCCTGGAAGAGCGCGAGGCTGGAGTGGATCCCCTTGAGTCGGACCGCGCAGGGGCAGGCATCCTCCTCCCGGGGCCCTCGCCCCACGCCGCCGCGCCCTCAGGTAACTCTCAGCGCGGCTGCACGTTAGAACAAGCTGGGGTAAACTCCCTCACCCGCATGCGGGCCCAAGAGCCGGCTGTGGGAGGGGGCCCAAGCGCTGATTTTTTTGTTTGTTTGTTTGTTTTTGAAACGGAGTCTCGCTCTGTCTCCCAGGCTGGAGTGTAAGGGCGCCATCTCGGCTCACTGTATTCGCCTTTCGGGTTCAAGTGATTCTCCTGCTTCAGATCCCAAGTAGCTGGGATTACAGGCGCATGCCACCACGCCGGCTAATTTTTGTATTTTTAGTAAAGACGGAGTTTCACCATGTTGGCCAGGCTGGTCTCAAACTCTTGACCTCTGGTGTCCGCCCACCTTGGCCTCCTACAGTACTGGGATTACAGGCGTGAGCCACTGCCACCGCCCCCGACTCCTAGCTCTGCTATTTCTAAGAGCTCCCCGGGGGCCCGCGCCTGCTGCCCTCGGTGGGAGCATGGCAGGAGCCTGAACCTCCCTTTCCGGGCCTCTCCCGTCCGGTAGGCGGCGTCCCCGACCTCCAGATTAATCTTCCATTGGAAGGCTGGGGCCTGCAGCTTCGAGGATAACCCAAGTGAGCTTGGAAGACCGCCAGTGAGGGTCTTTTACCCCCTTTTCTGTTTTCTTTTTTGGTCCTCTACCTTTCCCTCTCAATATTTCCGTTCTGTCTTACCTCCTGCACTTGATGTTTCTGCCTCTCAGCTTTCCCTTTATCTTTTTTTTTTTTTTTTAACGGAGTTTTTGCTCTTGTTGCCCAGGCTGGAGTGCAATGGTGCAATCTCGGCTCACTACAACCTCTGCCTCCTGGGTTCAAGCCATTCTCCTACCTCAGCCTCCTGAGTAGCTGGGACTGCAGGCACGCGCACCACCACGCCCAGCTAATTTTTGTATTTTTAGTATAGACAGGGTTTCACTGTGTTGCCCAAGCTGGTCTCCAACTCCTGACCTAGTGATCCGCCCACCTTGGCCTCCCAAAATGCTAGGATTACAGGCATGAGCCACCACACCTGGCCACCCTTTATCTTTTTTAAGACCTCCCTTTCTTGTCCTTATTTTCTCTCTCTCTGTCCCTTTTTGTGGGGGGAACCAGCATTGGGCACAAGAAAGAATATGTATGGGCTTTGATACCAGACAAATACGGAAAATTTACATTCTTCCTCTGACTCTTTTAAGTGGGATGACCTTGGGAAATTACTAAACCTCCCTAGATCCCAGGCTGCTCATCCCTGAAGCCTAGCCTGGAGCCTTGGGCCCCTTCTGTTGCTTCTCCATGTTCTCCATCCTTTCTGCTGAACTCATGCATGTGACCTCAAAAAAACAAAGCAAAACCTTCCCAACCTCTCCAGCGCTCTTAACATAGAACATGTGCCTCATTATATTTACATACAGGTTATCTAGGAAGATGTCACTGACTTTTTGTCAACCATCTTGTCCTCCCAATATTCTAACTTGTATCAGATAGATGGCTCAGGAAGCACCAAAAGGAATATTGAGGAACAGGAACATGTGCAACTTTCATAGCAGCGTAGCCATTAAACAGAGCTCTGTTTTTATCAAAATAAGCCAGTAGCGGGGTGCAGTGGCTCATGCCTGTAATCCCAACACTTTGGGAGGCCAAGGCAGGCGAATCACCTGAGGTCAGGAGTTCACGACCAACTTGGTCAACATGGTGAAACCCTGTCTCTACTAAATATACAAAAATTAGCTGAGCATGGTGGCAGGTGCCTGTAATCTCAGCTACTCGGGAGGTGAGGTAGGACAATCACTTGAACCCACGACAGGGAGGTTGCAGTGAGCCAAGATGGTACCATTGCCCTCCAGCCAGGGTGACAGAGCAAAACTCTGTCTCAAAAAAAAAAGATAAGTAAATAAAAATAAGCCAGTAGTCCACTGTAAATATTCGAAAATAAAATTTTAATCGTAAAAATATGTTGGTGTGTGGCAGATTGCGTATTGTTTAGAATATTTGGGCCAGTGTGGTAGCTCACGCCTGTAATCCTAACACTTTGGGAGGCTAGGGTGGGAGGATCACTTGAGCCCAGGAGTTCAAGATCAGCCTGGCCAACATAGTGAGACCCCATATCTAAAAAATAGCTGAGGCTAGGGGTGCACGTCTGTGTTCCCAACTACTTGGAAGGTTGAGGTGGGAGGATCATGTGAGCCCAGAGGTGGAGCCTTCAGTGAGTCCTAAAGTCATACCATGGCACTCTATCCTGGGTGACACAGCAAGACCCTGTCTCAAAGAACTACTGACAGTCTTTTTTTTTTTTTTTTTTTTGTTAAAGCAGAGTCTTGCACTTGTCACTCAGGCTGGAGGGTAATGGTGCGACTTCGGCTCACTGCAATCTCCACCTCGTGGGTTCAAGTGATTCTCCTGCCTCAGCCTCTCAAGTAGCTCGGATTACAGGTGCACCCACCACCATGCCTGGCTAATTTTTTTTTCATATTTTTAGTAGAGACGGGGTTTCACCATGTTGACCAGGCTGGTCTCAAACTCCTGCCTGTCTCAGCCTCCCAAAGTGCTGGGATTACAGGCCTTTTCTTTTTTTTTTTT